CCTTCGCTTCATAATTTGCTTAGCAAATGAATGAATACGAGCGTCAGGAACGGTCGTCCATTTGTGGGCGGGCGGGCGTGGCGGGCGTTTGGGACGTAAAGTTGTGGCTTGATAGGGCCCTTATAAGGGCACCTTCCTCGGGGAAACCGCTATGCAGCGCCTGCCCAGGGTCGCGGAATTCTATCCTGCCAGGAGTATTGATCCTAGTCGTCTTGGGGATTTATCGTGCCAACTGCCTTTAAAGTTTCCTTCACCTTAGCTTGTGTTGTTTTTGATGCGGAGTTCACGAAGGTCTCATTCGCTATACTCCACATTAGAAATAGAAAAGAGCTAGAAAAATGGCTCACAATCGCTTTTCCTTGGCAAACTTTTCTCTAATTTTTTGGCACTCCCAAGAAGCATAGCAAAACGAAACCCATTTTTGTGATCCTTATATGGACCCCTACAACATGCAACAAATCCATTTCTGAAAAGCGCGCCACGACCTGAAAGACCTCCCTTGTTAGATGTTATTGTAAGCCGACACTGCAAAATGCGCTAAAGTAGGCATACACACTGCCGGCACTTGCAACTCCACTTTATAAGAAAGACTGTATAAGAACTTACAGAGCCTTCCGCATACGGGACATCGTCGTGGAAGGTTCTCATGCCGCTGTTGCCATCCTCACCAATAATGTTAAGATTGGCTCGGAACGTTCCATTGCTGGCAGTGGTCGCCAGTGTAATAGTGTAGAGAATGTCTACAATAAGGATTTTTGAGCGCTAATTGATCAACATCGCCACTGTAGGTTGCCTGTCTTCCGACTATATGTGGACTTAAAGGCACATGCCGGTCGTATGGACAAGGCCTCTTGGACAACTGATGCCTCCTCGTTTGCACGCCCCTCTTTATTCCCAGTGGTAGGGTAGAATCCACAAATGGAAAACCACAGTGGGTAAAAAGACCCCGCCCATTCGATCAGCGTGGAATATAGTCTCTAAGCAACTTCTGTTGTGCAGGAATCGCTGCTCAAATGGTGGAGCAATAGTAAATAAACGATAACTAAACATAGATCTCCCAAATACCAACACCTTAGTGGTACTATTCAAATTTGTCACGCTGAGCGAAGGTCGTATATGGATTGAGAAGAAAAAGAACTTGAAACTCACTAAGAGCTGGTTGAATATCTGGGTAGACAGGCGAGAACTCGTACACTTGATTGCTCTCGTATTCGGTATCGACATTAGGAAATCGAAGTACGGTCTTGGTAGTTTCATTTACTAGACGCATCTGAAAGCGATAGAGTTAAATGGGATTGTGACGAGTGGGTATAACTAAAAAGCGAAATCCTAAGGGGAACTAAATTTAACTTATGAGCAATACTACCTTTTTAATATAAAACCTCTCATTGTTGTCCAGTTCTCCTACGCCAACTCTGAGCTTTTGAAAGAGTGCGAGGTGCCTTGATCCTTTTAGCTGGAACAGTATAGTACTTCAGCAATTTAGGTAGGAAAAGTATGTATCATCCAGTTCAGTCGAGAAAAAGAAATGTAAGCCTGCTTCAAAAGAAATGATTGGGCGCTGCCTGGCCTTACAAGAAGTCCGCCAACCTACCATGGACTTTTGAATGTGAGATGGATAGAGTCTATAAGGTTATTTACAAATATAGATAGCAAAACTGCAACCTGCATTTCACAAGCAACTTATGAGCAGGTAAAGTTTGTAATGGTGCAGTAGGGTGGAGGCTTGGTGGTGAGCTGTGAAGCATAAGCGAGGAATCGCATACGTCGAATAGAGTCTGGAGTCGAACACACCACTTGATCTTCACAGCTGTCACCATCAAGCCCCCCTACTGCACCAATTACAGAACTGTCCACCGCCTCATAATTTGCTTGTGAAAATGGCAGGTTGGCAGATTTGCTACCTCTATTTGTAACAATAATCTGAAATAGAGACTATTGATATCTATCCGTCTCCATCGACCAAAGTTCCATGTAATTTAGCGGACGTGATTAGAGTGGGCTGAGGCAATTTTGCACTTTCGCTTGTATCCTGTCCAGCACATCGTTGTTGGTGAATCCCCACAATATGGGGGTCGACTTGAGGCCGCCAGGAGAGGGGGGTTGTACTTGGCTGGGAAAAAATTTATTTTGGTTAAGTTGATTTTCCCCTTGCACGGGACCTTTGAGAGGGGGGGGGGCTATTGTGGGAGGGGGGAGGGTTCGTATTAACGTTTAGCGTTGTAGAGTGGTGATTTTCTTCTGTTTCAATGCGTACATAGTATTGCTCCCCTGAAAGCTCAGCTGTACTGCATAGCTTAAGAGTACCTAGGTTTTCCGCAGAGACATAGGTATTTATCGACGGGAGCCTGCTGAATGCCCCCACCAAGCCACACTGCGCCAGTCACTTCTCTCAAGCGAGACACATTCTCGACTTCCTAGGACTTGCCTTTCATGCGAATTCGGGCAACGGCCACAATGGCAGAATTTTCGTTTTTAATCCCTGTTTCGCTCTCCCCATATCTGCTTTGTAACGGAATAATGTTACACTTTCTATCGCACCAAGCTAATTCGACTTGATTCACACAGCAAGGAGGGATACAGAGCAGGGATCCTAGCAAGGTTCCATTTTTTCGTTGCTTAGGCTGTCCGTCCTTTTTTGACAATATAACACATGCAATATCTTTATCCTCGCACCGAACTGGAAGAGATGAAAACAGTTTCTAAGATAGCGAGACTGACTTATATTCTGCCTCTCAGACAAAACTCGTCTCAATAAGACCACTTCTTTCGCATATGAAAGTTCACAAATCCCACCTCATAAGTATACTGTTCGTCCGCGGATGCATTTGGTAGGAACTCCATCGGATATTCGTCATGTCCTGAGCAAATAGAAACCTTGGGAGTAACCTCTAATCGTCCCTGTAAATCATATTAGATGAGAAGCGGACGATCCGAATTGTCCAAGCTCTTCCTCAAGTACCTCAATGGACATCTCCAGCGACCAGTCAGACTTCTCTGCGTTGAATGTGTGCTTTTTGTTCCGTGTTGACAGTCCTTCCATCGTCTCAATCACTGTGTATAGTGAATACTTCAGGGCGTTTAAAGCAGTTCCAACAAAGACACAGTTAAAGGAAAATGATTTGGGTTCATATGAGGCAAACGAATGAGGAGTCTATAGTGCATTTGGAAAATCCCTGACTAATGTGGTAGGTATGACTAAACGCATGACTGCTACCTCAATGGAGTGAATGTGCTCATGTTCGAATAGCCACGCCTACTCCGTCTTAGGGATAAGAAATGTATGTACTTACAGGTCAATGAAATCAAAGACCAGTGTTGGACTTACCACTAAACCTCAGCACTTTGAAGTAGTTCTTGTTCTCGTCAAGTTCACGGATTTTGCTCTCCTTCAGGACATACCGATATGGACAGTGATTGGATTCTCGTACAAGTGCCGACACAGCGAGAATCTAGAAGGTGGTTCTGTTATATTAAATCCACTTGAATATGGTAGACGAACAACTGCGGGGCACGCTATGGCGATGAGCAATATTTGTCATTAAGCATATCGGCTTGAGTTCATTTGACAGAGAAAAGTTCTGAAGTTGATTCAGTATGACGACTTCCCTCTGATGCCGCACGGAATGATGGGCAAAAGTCTTCAGCTCTTCAGCTATGGCACAAAAACAATTGAACTGAGAGGTATTCCGACTGCGGAAGTTTCATAAGAGGTAGCGCACTCGCTCAATCAGATGGGAGTCCCGCCTGTCAATCTGGACTCAGCGTTCTTGTGCTAACTCGTAGAAAAGAAAAGAGTCAACCGGTGAAGCAGTGCAAGGGACTGGGGTAGAACAATCTCAATAAGCCAACGTTGCTGCTGCCCTCCCCCTCCACCTGCCGCTTCTGAGGATTTTTCAACCAATGGCGTGCTCAGAACATCAAATCACATATCATTGAGAATATTCTGCTTGAGCGTGTGTGTATGTTCACTTCGGGTGGTTCTGACAGCCCCAAATGAGAACCCTTCGCATTATTACTGGGCAGGAGTACCATGTAAAGTAGTCTTGAGGACGCCTCGTCTGGGCGCCATTCTGCTTGGTGGGGTATTCTACTGGTTCCCAGAATCACTGTCGATGCCTTCAGTGGAGACGCGTGAATTCCTGCTAAGCTATCCAGTAGCGGAGTCTTTCTTTCCGCTTGGCAAGAGTTTACAGTCTTTCCACGCGGCTAGTAAAAGAAACTAGCGAAAGTGTAACATGCCCCTCGCAAACAGATCGCACTCGTGACCTGCCGTAGGAGCTATGATGGTAATGGTATTCCAGCCCTACACAATGGACTACAAAAGCCCGTCGATGAGAGAAGTGTGAATGACCTTAAAGACACATAGTACGCTCATACACATTGAGGGTGTATGAGACTATCAGCCCCCAGATGTCGATGTGTCGT